ATTGCAACGATCGTTTTACATTTTGAAGAATCGAAGAAAACAAAATCATTTCTGAATCAATTAATACTTTATTAAATATTATCATCATTCCTAATCAAGATGAATTGATACCACATGATTTTCAAAACTTTTTTGGGTGGCGATTTTACCCCAGTCGCGCCTGGCCATTTTCAATATTAAGAATATAGTTTAAATAATTTGTATTTATTAAATCAACTCGTAATAAGCGGCTGTGCTAACACAAAAAATTACTTTGAAAAAAAGGTATAAAAGAATCTACTTGACACGTTAAAATCTGATTGTGACAAATCAATTTCTATATAAAGCCCACAATTCGTCAGACTCCTAAAGAAATTCAATCAATAAGGTAAATTAAACTTTTAATAAATATATTTAATACATATCTAATGCTGTTTGACCTAAATTCTAAATTCGTTTTCTTGAACAAATCCGTACAATTGATGACAGTATTTATATATTACGAAGTCGATTTTATTGTATTTTGTCACGAGAATGTCTCATTATATCATGCTAAAACAAAGGTGTTATATCTATTTTATTTGTTATTATAAATAGAAGTTATATACTACCTTTTTTGCGAAGGATTAGATTTGCATAGACGCAGTTTAAATGGTTCATTATTAACGTTAATGCTCACTGATGTCACATGACATTTAACCGATCATATGATATTTGAAAATTTCTTAAGATTTGTAGTACCTATAATTATTATTATACGTATTAATTATATATATATTATATATATATATATTATATATATATATATTTATTTATTTATTTATCATTATATATTTATTATAATTCACAGATACAACTTGAAAGACACGATAGTTATACGGTAAAGCCAAAATTATTAAATAATTGTAAGCAAGAAATTTTCGCCAACAAATTTATAAAATTTTTGAAGCCAATTTAAAATATTCAAAAGTGATATATTATTTATTTAATGGCATATTTAGAGTTGGAATTCTTACAAAATTATAACTAGTTTTTTTGCAATTTTCTTTATCGTTAAATTGTGGTTGAGTTTTAAATATTTTTTTCATTTCGTTCAAACTATGTATTAGCATATTTCTAAATATTTGCAAACTTTGGACCAAATCAATAATCCCATCAATTGTACCTTCTTTATAAGGAATCGAAATATTAGATAGCCTTCTCAACCGAAAAAAAGGTTCAAATTTTTGATCCAAAATGTAAAGTTCTAAACTCGTTCCTAAAGAATAAGATTATTAAAATTTAATAAACGTATGTTACAAGTAACAAAAAAAAGATAGAAGCAGACCATGAGCATGAATTAAAAAGGTATTGATTTCTTTAAAAATCTCAAAATTCCGAGTTTCAGTTGAATAATTTAAGTTGATAAAATTTAGAGCATCATCCAATGTATCTTTTGCGCACTTTCCAAGCTTAACGTGGTCATCAGATGCGTGCGATTGAGCTTGCATCGTGTTATTAAAAGGACCGTTAGAAACTTCGCCTATAAGAACCTCCCATTCATAAATACCATCGTTTCTATGTACACCAAATATATCATTTTTCTTTATTGGACCTTTAGACCCATTTCGTCGTTGACTCGTTTTGCTTGTTACATTGTCCCTAAATCAAAATAAGTATATTTAAAAAAAAACATATCTGATATACTCTTTAAGAAATTGACCTACCATCTAATAAAAATATCTTCTTCCAAATCATAGGTAATGTATTTTACTATAGGATTCAACACATCGTGTTCCCACGTTGATTCATTTATCGAGGATCCTCCACAACTTTAACCTGATTATAAATCTCAATTATTGCATCTTATAGTGAAAGAAATAATATTACGAAAGTTCGCATATAGACTTAACCAAATCCTTCGTGTTAGAAAATAATGATTGATTCTCGCATTCTTGAATATTTACAGATGGATTTTGCTGTACTTCTAGAATATCTAGAATAAATTCGATTAATCTTTTGTTTAATGGCATATGTTGAATTTGCTCATCTACTGTTTTCCATAAATTCTCTCTTTCTAACTCTTTTTTAATTAATGTATGCCTGACGATTATATTTTCGATATCCAATATTCCAGACAATAGGGGATCGTTTGGAGTAATAGAAAGGTTGTGAAAAACTTTGCTAATAATTTTCACAACGGGATTTACATCCATATGGGAACCCCCACAGCAAAACAAACCAGTGGGCGAAAAAAATTTTTTTTTTTAAAACTCAATTTCTCGAAGAATTGAAGTATTAGAAATGCAATTTTTATAAAATTACAAAAACAAAA